TGGGTCTTGTGATTAACCATGTCACCAGCTGGTAGGTATTTATGGTGGTGCTGAGTTTTTCATGCTGTATATTTGTTGCATTTTTTGTAAGTTAGAGCAACTCCAACGCAAGGACCCAAACGGACACCGATTTTGTCCGTTTCGTGTTTGTTTGGGTCACCTGTCCGCCTAGTGGACATGGGGCGGACAAGCCTTGTATCCAACGCACGTCGACCCAAACTCTCCGCACCGCCCGCCCCCTCCTCTCTCCCTCGCGCCGCCCGCCCCCTTCTCTCTCCCTCGCGCCGCCCCTCCTCTCCTCCTTGCGGATCCCCTCCCGCGCGAGATTTTTCTCTGCTCGCGCCTCTGCTGCAGCCAACCTCTGCTCGCGCCACCGTCCGGGCCTCGAGCCCTAGCAGGAGCGCGCGGAGGAGCCCTACGCCGGTGGCCTCGCTGGGGCGTGGAGGAGCGGCCGAGCGCGCCGTGGCGACCTGCTCCGATGGCCTCGCGGCGGCATGGAGGAGCGGCCGAGCGCGCGTCGGCGATCGGTGCCGACGGCCTCGCTGCGGCGCGGAGGAGCGGCCGAGCGCGCGTCGGCGACCTGCGCCGGTGGCCTTGCTGCGGTGCGGAGGAGCGACCGAGCGTGCGGTGGAGACCAGCACCGGTGGCCTTGCTGCGGGCGTTGCAGTCGCTGACATATGGGACCAGGGGCAGACACAAGCGGACGACAGCGGTGGACGAGAGCGTCCGCTTCCGTCCGCTTCGTACCCATTTGTTCCCAGATTTGGGTCAGGTTTGGGTCGGGGACGGACAGCAGGCGGACACGGACGTCCGTTTGGGTCGCCCCGTTGGGCCAAATTTTCTGTCCAGATGACCCAAACGGACAAAATGGATCCTCCCATTGAAGTTGCTCTTACAGTTTGCTCTAATGTGGGCATGTCCGTAGCTGCTATTTTCTGTAACCCAACACATCCAAAACAATAAGGTACGGGAGAAGTGCGTCCTCTCGTTGTGGAGCTCTTTTACAGTACCCCTAAATGATTATGAGCCCTCCATTTCTGTTAATCCAATGGATGATCTTAATCGGTACTCCAACAAGTGTACAAGAGAGTACCAACTGAAAAAGCTAGGGAGTACCCTGATCTTAGGGGCAAAAATGTAATATAGATGCAATTAATTTATCGTATCAGTACGGCTGCTACATAATAACGTTTCAACTTGACGTGATTAATTATTTTTAGAACCCTAATTCTTCACTGGGATATACGCCAGCGGCGGCCATGCCATCCCCGCGTCAGAGTCTCAGGGAGAGACGGCCATGAAGGCATGGCTGCTCAAGTACTTGTCAAGCGGCGTTAGCTGGGTATGGTCACCAACCAGGGCAACGCTGAAGCGACAGGACCAGGGCGAGGCGGGATCACTAGGTCGGCTGGAGCTCCATCATGCTTGCGTTGACCAAGTGGTGGACGTTCATATGTGGGGTTGATCTGGCCAAGGGATAGCATTGGCAGCCGCGTGCGTAACAGCTTATGAGATGATGGCGGCACGCCTATAGGCCGATAAACACCCGATTTTTTTAGGGTACTCGCTTTTTTTTTACATGGATAAACAGACGCGTTACCAAACAATTTATAGCAGATCTGATGTGAAAGATATCGCTTAAGAATATGAGAAAAATGACTAAACTACCCTTTTAGGTGGATGGCCAGATTTTAGTGGCACTCCATCCCTTCTTAAGGGAGTACCAGCGTACCGTAAAAGAGCTCCTCGTTGTGTCCACGTTGGATTCAGTAAACGCCAACGAACTGCTGCGTGCGAATGAACTGAACCAGTACTTACATGGCAAACGACGTTGCTAGTACTACAGTAGTTTTGTTATATTAGTAGGAAAAATGTTACTGCAGCAGTACAGTACACACTGGTGTAGGAGGAGGAAAGTTACTGAACCGTACGTGTCTGAATTCTGAAACATTGACAAATCGCTAAGAAGAAACTGTACGTTCAATAAATTCTGAACATATTGATCACTATAAAATAAAGCATGCAAATATCATCACAAAAAATTTAAATACATGAGGAAATTAACATCCTTTTCAAACTGCCTGATCCCAAACAGGATTGGTCGTCGTGCTTAAAATTTCTCTAAAATATACTCCCACTACTCCGTTTGAATCGTCAAGAGAAAAAGCTATTCGAATTGATGCTTATGTTTCAAGCCGCCGACACCCTCCCACGAGCCAAGTAGCTGGCCAGCGTCGCCACCAGCTCGTCGCCGACCGGCTCAGCTCCGAACAGGCGGCGGCACCTCCAAGCCTCCCCCGCCGAGATCTTGCCCTGCTCTCGGAGCTCTCCGAGCTTCCGCATCAGCCCCTCCGTCTTCGGGTCACGGCGGTGCTTCGCCACGCGCAGCCTCCTTCGGCGTTCCTCCCACGACACCTCGATCACGCCATCTTCGGCCAATGTGGCGCCCGTCGCGACCAAGAAGATGACGACAAGCATCAACTATTTAGGAAGTCCCTAGAAGCATCAGTTGGTTCATTATAGAAGATGTCAAGTATTTCATTTTTCTTAAGTGAATGATCAGACAAAGCATTAAGTAATTGGCAAAGCCTCCGCCAAGCTTGTGGGAGACTCTTTTCTTTGATTTGTACAAAGTTAAATATTTCCTGTAAGGCAGCTTGTTTCTTATGAGCAGAAAAATATTTTTCAGAGAAGTAATAAATCATATCCTGAGACTACGCACACAACCAGGAGTAAGAGTATTGTACCAAGCTTTAGCATCACCCTTCAATGAAAACGGAAATAATTTGAGAATAAAGTAATAGCGAGTTTTCTCATCATGAGTAAAAATGATGGCTATGCCATTCAACTTAGTAAGATGTGCCACAACAGTTTCAGTTTCATAACCATGGAAAGAGTTAGATTCAACCAAAGTAATTAACTCTGAGTCAACATAGAATTCATAATTCTTATCATCAATAAAAATAGGTGAAGTAGCAAACTTAGAATCACATTTCA